CAGCTAGGTGTATATATACCAGTTGTAAACACATAATTTTGAATCAATAAGAATAATATTTTCCCTCTCCATGCCACATTCTCCATAAATGCCCAATTCACTGTCACATGCCTTCTCCAAGTAGAGATCTTTATGGCCATCAATCCTTTCCTCCTACACATCCTATTCATTGTATGTGAAATTTCCTTTGCAACAATAATATTTTATTGTATGAATCTTGCCCAGCACAAAGCTAGATTGGTACGGGGAAACTATTTTATTCATCAAAGACTTCAATCTGTTTACAACAATCTTTGCCACCACTTTATTCCACACATTACAAAGAACAATAGGCCTTAAAGTTCTAGCGAACAACGGACGCCTACAAATGTGAAGTAATAGAAGCAAGCACAAGTGAGTGTCGGAGTACAGGTGCGGGTATCGTTTGGAAGAGGGGGAGTGGGAAGGGGGGTTTTTCAAGCATAATCCTACCGCTACTGGGCCTACAACTTTGCTGGGCCAGGGGATATCATAATATTGAGATCAAAATCAGTGTGCTCAGAGTTACAACAAACTTACTAGGGACAGCAGTTACTTTGCCCTTGTTTTAACACTCTGTGCGATATCAAAGATATCACCTTACGTGATAGGAATCTCTCTGTTCTTTTTTTTTTTTTCCTAATGATTGCAACTGTCTCAGAAATCCCTCACGCTTAGGGTCTGTTGGTAGTGATTCTTTTGGTTCCTTTGATAATCAACCTTTTTAGGCCAGTTTGAAAAGGTGCATGGTGAAAGGGGCAGGTTTTTCATTTGACTTCTCCTTTTGTAATTTCGCTTGGTTTTGTTAATATATAGTTCCATTTTCATCCAAAAATAATAGGCCTTAAATGGCCTACTACTTTAGGCTTTTCAATTTTCGGAATCAGCACCAGCAATGTCATATTCAGCCCCTCAACGACTCAGATTATACCAAACATGTGAAATTAAATTCACCACACTAGATCCAACAATGTCCCAATTATTATGATAAACACAGATGAGAAACCATCCTCTACCAGTGCTTTAAATCCTCCAATACTGAATATTGCCTTATCTCCTCCCCATCAATAGACCTCTTCAAGTTTTCAATTATCCTCGAATCAACTTCACCCCACTGATGCTTAGTAACATGCTGCTCTTGCTGTTAGGAGCTCAAAATTGACAGAGAGAAATAAGAAGAGCAATTCTATTAAAATATAGAGAACAAGAATCTCAATTTATACTTCTCTCAATAGCCATGTTTAGGAAAATCTCCAAAGAGCTCAAAAGTCTGTTTTATTTATGATATGTCAGCTTTTAAGTTGACAAACATATTTATAATACTAATACAATCCAAAATAATTGAACATCTAAATAAATCTAAATAACTAGATATCTAGATAAATAAACATCTAAATAAAATATAAATAATATTATTAAATAGAAAATATCTAAAATAAATTAAAATAATATTTATTCCTAATATTCTCTTACTTTCCAAACCACCTGTTATCCCTCATCATCGATACTCTATCAATACTCTCCCCTTGGAAATTTGCTTGTCCTTAAGGCAAGACAGGCAAAACTTTCTTGGATATTTAGAGGTTTAGATGGGGTAATAGATAAATAGCAATATCTCCAATTTGGGCTCCAGAAATAGAGTTGGTCCGAACAAGAGATCCACTATTCACCAAGCTCAAACCTTCCACTCAAAGAAAGGCTCCTAAAACTTCATCGTTGCTGTAAAAGCTTTTCCTAAACCTGCAGCAAAGAAGGTTTGGCACTTTCTAGAACTATCTTGACTTTAGTGTTGTCTTTCAGAGGAGAGTTGAGCTCCTTGCCATGTGCAAGCTCTGAAACAGAAACATGCAAAGCCAAAAAAGGCTTGGAGTTTGTTGGGTCTCCAAGAGATGAAGAAGAAAGGTCGCATCTCCTTAGCCTCATGAAATGAATGTATTTCCAGTCAATAGTGTTTAATTTTGACTAGGTTGTTTCACTCCTTCATGACCACAAGCGTGTTAGACCATAAACTCACAATTTAACTTAAACTCAAGTGCTTTTACACAATTCTAGGTTGAGGAGTTCTGCTTTTCTAAATTTTCATATCTCCCTTAACTCCTAAAAGAATTTGGGCTAGCTTTGGTTTGTTTGCTAGTTCACACAATTGGTGGTGCCCTGATTGTAGCATTAAAGACGTCAAGGCGACCTATGATGTAAAGGAATCAGTGCGTATCATAAGGCAAGGAAAATGGTTAGATAGGGAATTGCATGGCGAGATGGGTGGTGAGGATGAAGGTTTAGGAGGGGTGTATAGGTGGTAGGAACCCATTAAGGATTGAACGGATTTGATACCAAATGTTAGGAGCTCAAAACTGATAGAAAGAAATAAGAATAGTAAACTTATTAGGATGATAGAATAAGAATCTCATTCTATACTTCTTTTAATAGCTACACTTGAAAGAATCTTCAAAAGATTCAAAAGTCTGCTTATTCATATGTCAGCTTCTAAATTGACAAGCATATTTATAATGCTAAATACAATCTCAAATAATTGAATATCTAAATAAAACCTAAATAACTAGATATGTGGATAAATATCTAAATAACCAAATATCTGGATAAATATGTAGATACCTAAACAAAAATCTACATAATATTATTAAATGGAAAATATCAAAAAATAAATTAAAAATAATATTAAATCCTAATAGTATAATCCCTCATTAAGCAGTGCTCTATCACTCACTGTAGCTTGTCATCTATATATAGCCTGTCAAAAAAAACTCCGGACCATTCCCATAATCTTAGTCTCACCCTCCACCCAACACCCCTCTTCGTCTTTTAACATCAAAATTTTATTTCTTCTTCCATCAATTGTCTTCAAATGATAGTATTTTGTGTTTCTATCCCCATTTTGCAAGCACAAGTAACAAAATGATGCCAATAAATCTCCTCCAGCTGGAGAACCTCAAGTAACTCTCCTTGCAATAGTTAACTCAAATTTTCGAATGAGGATTTCTGTCTCTTCCGAACTTGATTTGAATGCCCCCCAATCTGGCCTGAATACATCTTTCTCTCTTCAAAACACTCCCAAAAGCATCATGATTCCAATGAGCTTAGGAGTTTCAAAGACTTAAAATAGTATTATGAGCCTCTCCTTCAACCAACTCACTTTTCAGAAACTCCTTAAATCCTTCATGCATGATTCCACATTTCTTCAAAACAAAATGATCTTTGGTAAAACTTTCACAACCATATCAGGAAACTATTGCTGCGAAACATCATTCACAAACAGCAATCTAAAGATTTATACACCCTCTAACGTCCCTTCCATTTTGGTCCTTTCCTTGTGAACAAAGGCCTGTAGACTCCAAATCTACAAACCCGCATCTATTACACCAATCTCTAAACGCATTACATCATGCCACGCTTGGAGCTTCCCCTCCACCCTGCTCCAATGGTGACATTATGTCATCAAAATCTCCCATCATCACCCAAGGTTCAGAGATAATTCTTGCCATGCATTCCCACTTTCCCCACAACTCTTTCTGCCCACCCTTTGGGGATTAGCATAGGCAAATGTACTTAAAACATTCACCAAATTCTTTACCCTGCACCTTAACATGCATGAACTACACCTCTCATAGGATAGAATCATTAGCAATGTCCCCTTCATTCCAACAGAACAATATGCCTCCAAAATAACCAACTTTCTCCGCCCTTGCGTAACTTCTACATGCCATTCTATTGATTACTTCATCTGTTTTTCTTCCACTTACTCATGGTTTCAGCAAGACCATAATATCTAGCCCATGACATCTTAGTAACTCTTTCAATGCAACCATATATCCTAAGCATGAATATGTAATTTGCAAGAAAAACAACACAACAAATAGAATCTCAATCAGCCATACACTCCTCATAAACTTTAGATTCCCAGCCTAGAGGTGCGGCAAATAGTAAACAATTGACATTTTAATGGAAAGAAATGTTTTAAAATCAGTTGCAAGCAAAATACAAGTTTGACAAACATCTCCTACAAAGTCAAGAGTGAAAAACAGCACAACTTGAAACTTATTTACCTGAATGTCTTGGCTTAGCTATCTGAGCACAAAACTGTAGTTTTCCACCATTTAGAAACTGATCACAAACAAATAAGGTATGCAAATTAGCAAACTTAAAAGCGTAAATAACCGTAGATAGTCAAATTCCTTGCTAAATAAACGAGATATCAATACAGCGGTACTTGTAACAATATAACTGAAGTAACGGAAAACAACTAGAAAATATCAACTTTCCTTTTGTGTTCACTTTCCATTTGTTTTTTATAGTTATCATTCTTTAGACGATCTATTTGGTTTAAACTTTGCTACTTGCACAGTAATATTGACGGCAACTGTAACAGTGATTTAGAAGAGGAAGTGTGATAGGAGCTCAAAATAACTGGAAGAAATAATAGGAATAAACCTATTAAGATGATATAAAACAAGAATCTCATTCTATATTTTTCTCAATAGCCACGCTCGGGAGAATCTTCAAAAGGTTTGAAAAACTATTTTATTAATCTCATGATATGCTAGCTTCAAGGTTGCTAGTCATATTTATAATGCTAAATACAATCTAAAATAAAATCTAGATAACTATTTAAGATAATGAATAAAATCTAGATAACTAGATGACTAAATAAAATTTCCTAAAATCCAAAATAGTGAATAAAATCTAACTAGATAAAATCTGAATCTAAATAAATAAATAAAATCTGAATAAATATCTAAAAACTAAATAAAATACTAAATTAAATGAAATTAATGCTAATTTATCTTTTGCTTCTTCCTTCTTGAATAAGTCTGAATTCTATTTGGAATCTTATCATTACCCCCCTCTTGAAAACTCAACTTGTCCTCAAGTTGAAAAAAAGGGAATTGAGCATGCAATATGTTGTAGTCCTCCCAGCTCGCATCTTCCACAGGTCGCTCATGCCATTCCACCAATAGTTCAAGCAAATGATAACGAGTCCATCTATGATCTAAGACTCGATGAGGTCATACATGTAACTCAAAATCAGCTGATAATGGTAAGGCAGCTAGTGCAAGCGGTGGATCCATCCCATGAGCCAGGCACAAGAGAGATTGATAGGTGCTCATGATAGTAAAATAAAATAAGAGAAATAAATCTATTAAGATGGTATAGAACAAGAATCTCATTCTAAACTTCTCTCAATAGCCACGCTCAGGAGAATCTTTAAAAGGTTTAAAAGATTGTTTTGTTGATGATGATATGCTAGCTTCAAGGTTTCTAGTCATACTTATAATGCTAAATACACTCTAAAATAAAACCTAGATAACTATCTAAGATAATGAATAAAATCTAGACAACTAGATAACTAAATAAAATCTCCTAAAATCTAAAATATTGAATAATAGATAAAATACTGAATCTCAATAAAATCTAAAGAATTAAATAGAATATAAAGAAATACAAATACTTAATCAAATGAAATTAATCCTAATTTATCTTTTGTCGCTTTCTTCTTGAACAAGTCTGAATTTTATCTGGAATCTTATCAATACCCCCCTTTTGAAAACTCAGCTTGTCCTCAAGTTGAAAAGAAGGAAATTGAGCATGCAAAAGGTCGTGGTCCTCCCAACTTGCCTCTTCCACAGGTCACTCAAGCCATTCTACTAATAGCTCAAGCGAATGATGATGAGTCCATCTATGATCTAAGACTCAGTGAGGCCTTACAAGTAACTCAAAATCTGCCGATAGTGGTAAGGAAGTTGGTGTAATTGGTGGAGCCATTCCATGAGCCTGGCATAAGAGAGATACATGGAAAATAGGGTGAATATGGGCGTCAGCTGGCAGTGCCAATTCATAAGCTACTTTACCAATCCTTTAAAGAATCTTATAGGGCCCAAAGAAGCAAGGTGATAATTTTTCAAACTTTCGCTTGGTAAGTGATTGTTGGCGAAAAGGCTATACTCGCAACCACACCAAATCACCTACAGCATACTCGACTTCCCTTTGGTGCTTGTCAGCATAAGCCTTCATATAGTCCTGAGCCTTGCGCAAATCATCCTTTAGAAGTCGGATCATTGCACCTCTAGTCTCAAGTTGATCTTCCAAGTCAACTACAGGTGTTTCTCCTTTCACATAAGGAAGCAAGGGAAGAGGATCTCTCCCCTATACCAGTTTGAAAGGTGAATGGTTGGTTGACGCATGATGACCTGTGTTGTATGGATATTCTGCCCAGAAAAGAAACTTGTGCCAAGATTTGGGTTGCTCATGGGCAAAACATCGTAGATAGGCTTCAAAACCGTGGTTGACCACTTCTGTTCGACCATCTGTTTGGTAGGTAGTACTCATCTTCAACTTGGTCTGGCTTAATCGGAATAACTCTTGCCAGAACGAGCTCATGAAGATAGGGCCCCTATCAAAGATAATTGAGCGAGGTACCCCATGTAAGCGAATAATTTCCTCACAAAAGATTGTGGCCACCTTCTTTGCAGTGTAAGGATGCGAAAGAGCAAGAAAATGTGCATACTTACTCAAACGATCCACTACTACCAAAATAACCTCAAACCCACCTGACTTAGGAAGACCAGCGATAAAATCAAGGGGAATGTCTTCCCAAGTTTGAGAAGGTACGGGTAATGGTTGAAGAATTCCGACTGGTGCCAGGGTTTGATACTTATTTTGCTGACAAGTGGCACAATGTCGCACATATGCCTTAACATCCGCTTTCATTGCTGGCCAATAAAAATTCTCCGCAAGACGCTCAAATGTTTTAAGAAAACCGCCGTGCCCTCCAATAGTAGTAGAATGGGCTTCTGCTAGCAACTTGGGTCGCAACTGTGATGAATAAGGAATGACTACTTTGTGTGGTCATAGAAAAGTTTTTCATTAACAAGGTGGAATCTAGGTCGGGAAGTCGGATCTTTCTATAAATCTTGCATTATTTCATTAGCGAAAGGATCCAATGTCAACTCAAAAGAAAGGTCATCCAACTCTATAGCAAAAGGTACTGCCATTTGAAAAAAAATGGGCATGTTGTGGGCACCTTGACAACACGTCAACCCCCTTATTCTCCACTCCTACCTTGCGGATGATGGTAAAATTAAGGGGTAAAAGTTTGATGATCAACCGCTGTTGAGTGTTCGTTGTGGTACGTTGTTGTAATAAATATTGAAGACTAGCGTGGTTTGTTCTTACTAGAAAATGCCTCCCTAAGAGGTAATGGCGCCATTTTTGGACTACAAGAACTAACACTAGGAGTTCACGATCGTAGGTGGATTTGAAGCAGTTAGAGAAAGAAAATCCTTTACTGAAGTACGCAATAGAGTGGTTATTTTGCATAAGTATAACACCAATTCCTTCTGTGGATGCATCGCATTCAACTGTAAATTCTGCTTTAAAATTAGGCAACTGTAGGACGGGTGCCATCATCAATGCTTGTTTAAGATGATCAAAGGCCATTTGAGCTAGTTCAAACCATAAGAAGGCATCCTTCTTAGTTAATTTAGTGAGAGGACGAGCAATAATCCTGAAATTCTTCACAAAATGCTGATAATATCCTGCCAAGCCTAAAAATCCATGTAATTCCTTCATAGTTTTAGGAGTAGACCATTCACGTACTGCTTCCACCTTTTTCGCTCAACTTCAACTCCCTGGGCAAAAATATTATGCCCTAAGAAGGGAACTCATGGTCTCCCAAGAAAGCATTTTTTTAAATTAACACAGAACAAACTTTCCGTAAGGTCTGCAAGACAATACATCGGTGGTCTTGGTGTGTTGGAAAGAGGAACTGTATATCAGAATATCATCAAAGAAGACCAAGACAAACTTTCACAAATAAGGGCGAAATAAATCGTTCATATCTGCTTGAAAAGTGGTTGGTGCATTAGTTAAGCCGAAAGGCATGACTATGAACTCATAGTGTCCCACGTGAATTCAAAATGCTGTTTTGTAAATATCCTCAGGTTGCATCCTAATTTGATGGTACCTAGATCGTAGATCCAATTTGGAAAAGTAAACCGCCCCATATAGTTCATCTAATAACTCATCAATATTGGGAATTGGATGCTTATCTGGGACTGTAATGCTATTCAATTTTCGATAGTCTACACAAAATCACCATGAACCATCTTTCTTTGCAACCAATAATACTGGGCTAGCAAATGGACTGGAACTGGGATGAATAAAACCTTTGTTTAATAATTCTTCAACTTGTTTCTCAAGTTCAGCCTTTTGATAATGTGGATAGATATGGTCGTAAGTTGGGTGGTTTGGCCCCAGGTAGCAGGGAAATGGTATGTGAGTGATTTTTGAATGGTAGCAAGGTTGTGGGTTCTTCAAAAACAGCTGGGAAGTTTGCAAATAAAGGTTCAAGGTTGAAATCTGTGAAGGATTGAGAGTCAGCGGAAGCTTTTATTTGTTGAATTGAATTAAATTGAGCACCTTTAATAGTGTCAGGGACTCCTTGTAGCTTATACCTCTTGCCATTCCACCAGAAAATCATAAAGAGTTCATTCCAATTGGCTTGCACTGTATTAAGAGATGCTAGCTACTTAATGCCTAGTACCAAATCTGCCCCTCCCAAGGAAAATAGGAAAAATTCTTCTTTAATGGTTAGCTCTGTGAGCTTAACTCCCACATCTTTACATACTCGGTTGCAATGTACAATACTACTATCTCTAATTTGGACTCCGAATGCAAAAATATAATGAGTGGAAAGACATAATTCTTGCACCAATGAGTATGATATAAAATTATGAAAGGACCCACTATCTACAAGTAACAAGACTTCTTTTGTGAGCAGTGTCCCCTTAAGTTTCATTGCTGCCCATGTGTTGCTACCTAGAATAGCATTTAATGAAATTTATACCCCCTCTACTGTAATATTATCGGGTTTACGGTCTTCAAAAGGGGGAACGACTTCATCTCCTTCTTCTATGATTTCCATGAGAGAAAGCAACCCCTGACAGTAGTGCCCAGGCCGAAACACGTCTCCATAGCGAAAACACAGCCCCTTATCTCTCCGTCTTTGCTATTTGACATCCAGGGCTGAATTTCTAGTTGACGCCGAACTCGCTGGTCTGCTTCCTGTCAGCATTGAGGTAAGCAATCTTTGTGAAGATGACGAG